CTTGCAGTTTTTGATGAATTGAAAACCGCAACGCTAGCCGTGTATACGTTTCACACCGTCACGTGTAACTCCATATCCGGATGTGTCTTCGTGTCGATGCTTCAACTGGCGCGAGCTTCGTACTCCAGTCTGACTGCCATGCTCTGCCCGTAAGGATCGCAGCGCTGTCCCGTCCTGAGAAAACGGCATCGATTGTACCTGCCTAATTACTGGAATCCCTGATTGACTTAGTATTGTCGGTGCGCCTGCTTGCACGCCATCGCTTCTCTTCCGCCCCATCGCGTCCCTACCGTCATATCCCCGCGTTAACCGATCAGAATGTGCAAGGCGATTTTACAGGAGTCTGGCAGGCAACGGCTGCCGCCCTCCTAACATCACAACACCTGTTGCCATTCACAAATATGCGTTCCTAAAAAGCGTAGACCTGGCTCTATGCAAATCTCACAAAACGAAGCGAAGTGACAATAAATGGCCCCCGCTCGACCCCGGCCCACAAAAACTCTACCAAAAATTCTACTAGCGACGACCTACAACCTCAGGGCACTGAAGGCAAAAAACAAAGGGCTGCTATCGGGATTAGAACAAATAGAGGTGATATCTACATTGAACGCCAGCTGCAGAGGATTTCAAGCCTTCAGATTACTTAAAACCTGCCCTACGCCACCCTCGTCCCTATGCTGGTACAGTGGGGTATTGTCCGTGTAGGTGAGCGAGTGTCACATGAATTATGAATGTTCGCGTGCTGCCCACACTTCTGGCGCTGGGCAACGTTCCTTGTCTGTAGAGGGATGTGGCGGCGGCGGTGGCCTTGGTGCTGGGTCAGGCTGGAGCACTTCAGCAAAGGTGTGTGAGAACGTGTGTGGAGGGATCAGATGGGGGATGTGCGTGCAAACCGATTAACAAGCTGGGTCAGGCGCATAGAAACTTTCCGGTGCGCTTAGCTGGATGTGATGTTGCTGTTGCTGTTGCTGCCGCTGCCAGTCAAACATGATATTGCGCACTCCAATGTTGATCTCCAAGTCCTTTAAAAAGGAAACTAATTGTCTGTGGACGCGTCAAAACGGCGCAGCGCCTGCCCAACTCAACCACCCACTATCAACCCTGACTGCACACTTACCTGCAGAACTGCAGGGGAACCCCAGCCCCAGACCCAAAATAAAAGGTAAAGGCGCTCCTGGCATCCTGTGGACCACACGGCACACCCAGACATAGTGCCGAGCGAGGCTAATCCTGGGAAAGAGGACATTACAGGGGGGGAGACGTAACATGCAACATGCCTAGGCTACGCAAGGCTAAATAAAATGAATATTTCTCCTTATTGGTATTGAGGAAGGAACTTGCAGATGGTTGGCCATCCAAGCTGTTCCGCTTTTTGGGGAGCTTACATTTTGATATGTGGGATGGATTACCTGCTGGGGCTACAAGTGATAATAGGCGTGAGTGGGCGCACCGGAAAAACCGTCCAGGGGGTTGCCAATCCTTTCTGAGCTCCATCACCAGTTCATGTTTTCATGGAAGGCTGTCTGCAGTGCCACAAGATTTCCCCACGGATGGATAGCTACCAGGCATTAAGGCGGCTAAATTAAAGCACTGGATGGGGTTGCCATTTGCGCAGCTGGGAAGCAGCTGGGAAGCAGCTGGGGCAAGCTGGTTGCCCCATGCCAGGACAATATAGCACGCAAGAGCTCCTCAAGGAAAGCTGACTAGGTACGCCATGCAACGAGGAATCTCCGGATATGCAGCGTCATAGATTCATCAACCACATGGGAGTAATTATTCGCGCTATAGATGCGTGGGAAGCCTGTGGAAGGGTGCACCCGTTGCGGTGTTTAATTACATGGATACCATTGGAAGCTGCGGGCGTGTAGACATGCATGTCTCCAAACCAGACGTCTCCCGCATGTGCATGATCCGCAAAAGTCATGGGCAAGCGATTACCAGAGCTCCCCACTTGAAGGCTTTGGTGACAAGGTCACAGGCTGCCCCAAACGACTATGTGTGCGCTTCCATCCCAGCGCTTGATGTGCACATCCATCCCAGGGTCAAAGGATGGAAGCAGCTCAAATTCCACGGATCCCTGTTGCGTATGAAAGGGAGCCAAGCCGCTCCTAACAATTGGGAAGCGTAAGCTGACTGTTCTATCCGAGATACTGGCGCATGCACAGAGAATCGGGATTTTCAACCTCAACTTAGACTTACAATCTTCAAAATTTGGTCCACTTAAATAGTCAGGCTACCGCGCCACAATCTCACTCGTCATACACACAAGTCCTAGCTCCGCTAGCTTCAAAATGTTACGACATGGTCATGCATGTATTCCGAAAGCTCGTCAACCAACTTCATAACATACTCCCCTTCTTAAAAACAAGCACCATCCTCGGTGTGAAGGGGAAGCACTAAGCAATATTAAGCGGCCAAGTGGTGTGCCTCTCTGATCCCCTTAACGACATCGGCACCAGGCTAACGAGATGAAGGAAAAAAGGGAACCAGACTTGAGGCAAAACCTTCCCCGCACTGGATACCGGCCTAAAATGGCACTGCACGAGGAACATGACGGACGGACGTGCATGTCTGTTGTACCCTAGGCGGACAGCTGTGACGACGGTATCTGCACTGTCATACGGAGATTCTAGCACAGTAGGGGCTGCAGGTGAGGATGGTGGTCGGCCTGGAAAGAGCGCCGGGTCGTTGTCATTCCAGGGAAGAAGGCGGCTGACGTGAAAGACTGGATGGAGGCGGCCAAGGGAGGCTGGGATGTTGAGGTGATAAACGATTGGGGAAATGACGGAAGAGATGAGGAAGGGACCGAGGTAGCAGGGCCGAAGCTTGGGGGAGGGGTAGGTTGGCAGGGTGTGGTGTTCTGTGGACAGACGGACACAGTCACCAACTTTGAAGGTGATGGATGGTGCGGCGATGCTGGTTAGCGGTGGCAGTGTAGCGGGTTTTGGAGTTCGTGCCCTCCGACCCCAGCCCCTTACTACCCACTGCAACAGCAGAATCTCTAACCTCATTACCACACTGTCATTCCCTCCACTTTGGCCCACCACCTCACCACCTATCAATGTTGCAGCCAACCATGCCCTCCATCATGCCTGTTTCACCATCACAGCCCATGTCATCCCAGACCCCAGCCTCACGGACGATGTCTGCTTTGGATATACCGCCAACCCTATTTACTCCAATCCAACCACCACCCAACCTTACCTCCAACACTCCTTGGACGGTTTCTTCTGTTTCACCAACTGAATCGCCATTCCCAACATCCAATCCTTACGCTGTCACCTACTTCACGAATTCCATGATGCTGCTTACTCTGGTCACCCTGATTTCCATCGCATCCTCATCGTGATATCCACCCATTACTGGTGGCCTTGCATGGCCCACACCATCAAATCCTACGTCAAGTTCTGCCCCATCTGTCAACACACGTCCCTTAACACTCCTCCGCCTACCACCCCCAAACAGGTGGTCAGACAAAGCAAAAACATCGCACCATTGAGCAGATCCTCTGCGCCTACATTCAACCTATGCAAGGCAACTGGGCGTCGTACCTTCCAATCACCGAAGCAGCAGATAACAACGCCACCCTCGCAAGTACCGGAATGACACCATTCTATGCCAATCATGGCTGCCACCTGCACACTCCCATCTCTCTCCACGGCCCTCAACCTGCACCACCTACCTCTAACCCACAGGCTACAGAGCTACAGCTGCGCATGAACGACATCCACGCCACCATTAACCGTGAAATTCAAGCCGCCAAAACCGGCTACACTGCCGCCGCTAACCAGCATCGCCGCACCATCACCTTCAAAGTTGGTGACTGCGTCCGTCTGTCCACAGAACACCGCACCCTGCCAACCTACCCCTCCCCCAAGCTTCGGCCCTGCTACCTCGGTCCCTTCCTCATCTCTTCCGTCATTTCCCCAATCGTTTATCACCTCAACATCCCAGCCTCCCTTGGCCGCCTCCATCCAGTCTTTCACGTCAGCCGCCTTCTTCCCTGGAATGACAACGACCCGGCGCTCTTTCCAGGCCGACCACCACCCTCACCTGCAGCCCCTACTGTGCTAGAATCTCCGTATGACAGTGCAGATACCGTCGTCACAGCTGTCCGCCTAGGGTACAACAGACGCGCACGTCCGTCCGTCATGTTCCTCATGCAGTGGTCCACAGGTAGCAGGCTCGACCCCTCGTGGGAACCATACGAGGACGTGCACAACTTACCAGCGCTTCGTGCCTTCATGAGGAGCCCAAGCTGGACCGGGTTCAGGCTATTGGATACCAACTGAAAGGGAAAACAATTGGGAAATGAAAGCTGACTGTACTATCCGAGATACTGGCGTATGCACAGAGAATTGGGATTTTCAACCTCAACTTAGACTTACAATCTTCAAATTTTGGTCCGCTTAAATAGTCAGGCTAGCGCGCCGCAACCTCACTCGTCATACACACAAGTCCTAGCTCCGCTAGCTCCGAAGTTACGACATGGTCACGTACGTATTCCAAAAGCTCGTCAACTAACTTCATAACATTACACCGTAGGCATAAATATCCGTTGTTGGTTTATGCAGACCAGGTGAAGATGTTGGCGGTTCTGCGCATGCGGCCGATTCCTGTCACAGGAATTTCCTTGTCACAAGAATTTCTTGACATAGTGTCAAGTCGCCCTTTTTTGCCGTCCATCTCAAACTTATGGCGGAAGCGTTTGCAAGTAAACATCTTTGCTTCCAAAATTTTGATAAGCACGCTGCCTAAATGTGTCTGGCATGTGCGCATTTCGGCACTCGCAGCAGGAAACGAAGTGTATGGTTCAAGGGTAAATGATTAACGAGAGATGACAACTTTACATCCAGCTGTATAAACAAGATAGCCACTAGTATCGAGAAATCGGCTCACAGTCAGTCGTTGAGGGTCGTTGATGCTGTGCGTGGATTGCGTGGACTGCCATACAGCACATCGAAACATTGAACACTGGCGTAACTATTTCAATTGACAACATGCCACTTTTCCTCCTTCTTGTGGCGCCTAGGTGCGCTGAGCTTTGTGAAGATCAATTGCACTTGCAGGTGCCTGGTACAACGCTACACCTAGGAGTTCACTTCATCTGGTGGTGCGTGTAACATCTCACCAAACATTATTGCGCGAATAAGGCTGGAGCACCATGATCCAAGGCCATATACCCGCGGGGCCACCTACGCGTAGGGGCCACCCTCAGCCACTGTTCCGTGACTGTTCTGTCTCACGAGGGCACTAACACAAGATGAGGCCGGCTTTTATAGACTGATGTTATACTCCGGCAAGTGGTCATGATGGCCATCTCACATAGCCAGTTGCCTGCCCGTCATTGCCGGTACCGTACTCGTCGGGTTTGGATGCTGCGTTTTGCAACTGGAGCAGCCATCCGCTGGGTAGGATTGCATTTACGGTTATCTTTATAATCAGTGCGCAGGTGACGTCCTGTAATCGGGTTGCTGTAGCTCGGGAAGCCCGCGCACAAGTTCCCCGTGCAAGTGTGGCCTGGCACTCATAGTCCGATGAAATAGTAAAGCTCCTGAAGTGGTTGGATCAAGTAAACTGAAGTACGGTTGATGTGGGATGTTGAGCGGTGTATCATAACTGCACTTGCAAGCCCAGCTCAAAGCTGTTGAACAGTCCGAGCCGTACGGACCACCCGGCCTACTGCGTCAGGCAACATGGCTCCTCCGACGTAACTTGCTTACAGTGAGTACATTTCATATATTTGCGTGTTGTACTGGGAGAACGATGTAACTAAAGACTTCGTTTCCGCAAGCGCAAATACACCGGTGGTTGACTATGGCCCGCGTTATCCTGTATCGCTTTATCTAGAAATGCTTCAAATTCATGACCATAACCTTACTATAGGCGGGTCTTGAGCTTTGCGTGAAGGAGACATGGGCCTGTGATATTGCTTACACCTGGCCTGATTATTTCTATATCGGAAAGCTGTATTACACAAGCTATCCTGGATAAATGTCGAAGCCCTCCACTCCTGTGCGCCGGTCCAAGGTTGGACCTGGACGACCTGGGAGTGCAGGTAAGATGTCCCTAACGTTTAAGCTCCAAGAATGGCTCATGATCAGGTTTCGGGGAAACCGATCCTAACCGATTAGATGGTCGCGTTTTGACTGCAGGCGGTGAAATCCCGCTAACGGCGTCCATGGAGGTCCTTACACCGGATCCATGGTATTGAGTTCCTTTCATTATGTTACTCCCATGCTTGATTTGTTTCTCTCCAACCTGACGCTATGCTTGTCTTGCTTACAGCATTCCGCCCCACTTGGCTGCGTCAGAGCTCGCTCGTTCTCAAGGTAGGTATGGGAAAACTTATGCGGGGGGCCCCTCCAGAATCAGGGGGGTTGGGGGAACTGGAGTATGTATGTGGGGTAATGGGGTAAGGATCTGAATCTATCAGAGGGGCTTAGTTGCTGTCACTGTCGTCCTGAGTCGGCAATCTGGTTATGAACTCTTTTTCTAAATCCAAAAATTTCATTATGTTACCTTTGACAACAATCTGGAATTAAACACACATGGGGTTTTCATTCCAAATCCCATCCCATCTGCACCAGAGCTGCACGTTGCGTCGACAGCTTCCAAACCTCGGACGGGCTCGGCGTCCCTGGTCAGGTACGGCACCAACCATAGATTAGACGTGTGCGTGCGTGTGTATGTGTGTGTGTGTGCGTGCGTGCTTGCGCACGTGTTTACAGTATAAAAAAATGAGGCAGCCCTAAGAATCACCGCGTCAGGCTGTTGCATGTATCCGTGTCCGACAAGCATGTCTGCTTGTCTGTGAATGTGTGCGGTTCAGTCCAGGGTGGTTCATAGCAGCAGGTCCTCTCCACAGGCAGTGCCCGAAGTTGGTGCAATTGGTCAGTCGTTTAGATTTCTGTCATGCCCTAGCGGAACTGGGGTCCTTTAGATCTCTTTCCTCCCACAGGAGCGCGGCTGCTGCTTCTCCTGTCACTCCCTTGCTCCCCGCCGTTATCGCATGCCCCAGTGCCCTGCCTTTGTTCAGAGCGGCCCCCCCCCCCACCCTTTAGTTGTTTTATTTTTGAATTTGCATGTATTTCCCCACCCCCCACCCTCCCCCCGTCGGACAGCTCATTCCTTGTTTCCTTGCATATGATTTCCCCCTCCGCCTTCTCTAAGTAACGCGGACGTCAGCAGCTGTTCCTCTGACTTTTGCACATATCGATATGTAGTATCCCGTCCCTCCTCAAGATCGTGGTTTCGGGGCGGGTCCGATCCGTCTTACCTGGCAAAGTGGGCGGAAGGCGGATAGGCCGCAGCACTGGGCGGCCCTTACCCAATCTCCCATAGCAGCATTAAGACGTCGGGTGTCTGTTCCGCTGAGGCGGCAGTCATCCAAACAGACAGTATTCCCGCCTTGAAGCTGAGGCAGCTTTGAGTTGTTATCTGTCCCGCAGCGGCCATCGCGCGCCAAGCAAAAGTATCCCACAATTCAGCGCCGTGAGCCCGCCGGTAACTTCTCACTATCACCATGACACTCAGCAAAGCGATCACGCACCTCCAGCCTGACCATGTCTCACCGTCCCCTAAGCAAGAAGGACACGCACCATACCTTCACCACAAGACGCTCTGATTGACTGACTAACTAACGTGGCCGGGCAAGGCCACGATTACAATAGCTACGGTAGATGAGCCGCCGCCGCCACCACCACCACCACCACCACCAGGGGGGTTAAGCGGGGTCATGTGCATGTGAATGTTGCTGGTGTGTGCTGATGGCGACCACCCGCAGGACTCGGAGCACAGACGGGCGCCGTGCCTCCGGTCCGCATGAGGTCATCTCGCTCAACTCCACAACATCCAAGTCCCTTGCGGCCAACCAGGTCATCGCGCACCCGCTTGTGCTGGCCGCAGCGGCCGGGGCCTCTCCGGCGACATCCATCCTAGCGGCGTCCGGGGTGGGGCTTCCGCCGCCGCCGTCGTCGCCGTATACTGGCGGGCCGGTGCATGGGGGCACGACGCCCGTTGGCGGCGGCGGCATGCCGCCCGGCACGCGGTCTCGGACACCGCCGGATATGGCCGTTTCTACCGCGTCGTCACGGTTTAACCCGGTAGTGGAGGATGACGATGAAATGCCGCCGTTGCACCCGCAGCAACAGCAGCAGCAGGGCAGCGAGTCTATGCGAGAGTCGCAGGTGCTTCTCGGCGGAGGAGCGGTGGCAGCGGCGGCGGCGACGGCCGCTGGCGGTGGTGGCAACAGCACTCGTCGCTATGCGACGGCGGAAAGCGTTGCGATGTCCCACCAGCAGCATCAGCAGCAGTCGCAACAATCTAGGCTGCTGACGGGGGAGAGCAACGGCGGCGCCTCCTGCGACGCTGAGGAGAGCGGCGTCAGTGGTAGCGCTAGGGGGAGGCTGGGTCATCTTCAGCGGGAAGATTCTGCAGCGCCAGGCACACCCGGTTCTGTAGCCTCGGGTGAGTGTTAGGAGCTATGAATAAAGGAACAAATTTCGTATGCGTGCGCGGAAAATTGTGTTTAAATTAGGGCATTGCTGGGACGGCAGGAAAGGGCAGAAAGTCACAAGAACTCGGCAGCTCCCTCATTCGGTGGTTTCTTTCGAAGCCGACGACGACGCCAACGCGAAGTCGTGTTCGTCCTGTGTGTGGATATGTTTGTGTGTCTTTTTTTATCAATCAGCAACCCTCCAGCGCAACCCACGTCCCTCCCCGGCTCCGCTCCTGTAAAGCTGCGCTTGTGTTACGTCTGCAACACTTGTGGCTCGCGCCTCGGCGTGTTTTCCACTAAAAAAAACACCCTCCGCCTCCCCACCTCCCACCTCGGTGTTGGTCCCCCCCCCACTCAGGTCGGGTCGGGGGCGTCTTCTTCACGGACCTGCACCGCTCGTTTGGCGGTCAGGGTACCCCTGGACGGGCTTCTGGAGGAGTCGGCGACTCGCAGGACTTGAGGGACACCCTAGCAGCTGAGGAAGTCGGGGGAGATGGCGACGGCGACGACCATGAGGACGGTCGCGGGAATTCGCGGGCGAGCCGTCTGGGGCTCATTTCCGCAGTCACCAGTCGACTGAACCCCATGCAGAGCCCAACTATGTCCGAAGACGGTACGTGCGGGACAGTGCGGGGGCCCCCAGGAGGGGCGGAGGGAAGGAGGGAGGGGCGGAGGGAAGGAGGGAGGGGCGGAGGGAGGGAGGGAATTGTATGCAAAAACGGTCAGCTGCCAGGAGGATTAAATGTCCACTCTGCCAGGAGCGGGTGGGGTCGATTGGAGTCATGGAAGGGTGGCGGTGGTGGGATGTATAGAGGTGGAAGTGGAGGAGTTTGCGAGCCGGAGGCTGTTGGGATGAGTCTAGTGGTGGTGGTCTTGGTCTTACTGGGTTGTGGATTGGGATGGGGAGGGGTGGAGGAACGGGCGGGCAGGGTGGAGGAGGGCAAAAGGGCACGGAAGGACGGAAGGACTGCAACGGGAATTCGCCGCGTGGTGCGCTGCCCTGATGGCAAGGTCGACTGGATAGGGTGCGTGCCTCCTTTCTGTTATTTGGCTGTTTTTTGACGAACGTACGCGGTGTTATATATACTTGTGGGTTGTTTTGTCGCAGGCGAAGAAGATGACGAAGGCGATGACTTGTTTGCGGAGTACGCGGGCGAGGCGTTGCGCTCTGCTGCGGCGGCGGAGGCCAGCAGCAGCGGTGGCGCTTCCGGCAGTACAGCGGAGGAGGCGGCGACAGCCGGAGGGCGGGCAAGCACATCCGCCCTGACCGATTACACCAACCCCGTGCAGGTGCATATCCTGTAGGGCGAAGGTTATCGCTACCTGGCGTAGATCGTAATTATTGTGTTAAGCATGGTGGTTACGGGAATCGATCCCGGGACCTAGAGCTCAAAAATCCGAGTCTTTCGCTCCCATCCTCCCTTTGTCATTTAGTTAAATAAAATTTGTCCTCTCATTTTGCGCGCTCTTCTGGCCATCCCTGGGGATACATACATCCCGCCGCTCAGACGCCGTACGATTCGAGGCTTCCAACGCCGCTGCTGCCCTCAGCCGGCGCGGCAGCCGAACTTGATCTGGCCGCGCCGATGGCGGCGACGTCAGACCCTGAGTCCCGTAAGTCGCTGTTGCTGGTCATTCAAGATCTGTACGTCACGGATTCGGAGCCGCGACTCTCAATGGACCCCAGCCGACCTGCCACCGCAGCCGGCGAGCCGCTGGCCCAGACCCCGGCCACCCCAATGCCGCCTGAGTCGCCTGTAGAGGGGGATGGTGGGGGTGAGGTGGAGGGGGGCCTAGGTACTGATGACACGGATGCTCTTGCCGCGAGCCGCGCAGCTGTGGCCGCGCTGGCGGCCCGGGCTGAGAGTCAGCAGTCCCAACGGCGCAGCGAACTGGGGGAGTACATGACGGCCTTGCAGGTGAGGGGGTCCACGGCACGGGGGGGGGGTGGCTGACTGGATGGTGCATGGCAGGTGGCTGGGTTGGTTCCTTGGGGGTGTTCGAAGGCCTGAAGGGCTGAGGCGTGTCGATGGATTGGTTTCGTTCGTCCTTGTCCTGGGTGACGCACCCACGATTTTTCCCGACCCAAGCTGCCTCCCACGCTTCGTCCATGCATTCACCTTTCACTCTTCCCTCCTTTCTACTTCCCTTCCCAGTATCTTCCCCTTCCCAGTCGCAGGCAGTTTATCCTTTCTGCAATATGCATGTGACCCTGTCCTCCTCATGGCTATGCTTCCTCTGATGTTTTGCGGGTCAGGAGCTGAAGGACGAGTCCGGGGGTCGCCTTGTGGAGCTGCCCGCCGACTGGGGGGTCATGCTGGAGCGCCTGTTCAGGCAACGTCGGGCGGAGTTTGAGACGCTGCAGGGCTGGATGGGGCCTCGAAGGTTTGAAGGTGAGGAGGGTGACGACGATGACGACGGCGACGACGACGACGAGCAGGGGTAGTACGGCTCTGAAGCGTGGCGTATGGTGCGGGCGGAGAGGCTGCAGCACGCAGCGCCTCTCATGGACTGTTGTGGTTGCGAATCTCACTCCCTCTCACTCTCTCTCACACTCTCTTATGTGCGCTATCCCACGGGTTTCCCTGGGGCTCTTCTTTTCATTGCTGTGTCTGCTGTTCTTCCGGGTAGCGTGACATGCCGGTGTGGCACCTCCATCTCGCTCTCAGAGCAAGGGCATTGTGAGGGTTATGGTCACCTTCAACGGTTGCTGCACGAAGGGCGAGGCTGCACCACACCTAGTCGAGGCGTGGGATCCCGAGTTGAACTTACCAATACGTGGTTTCGGGGCTGCTGGTTCAGCGGTAACTTCTTCCCCATTGCTCCTTTTTCCTTACCCACCAACCCAAGTCAACCGCGCTCATCGTCCTCGACCCCCGCCACTGGCACCACCGCCGCCACCACTGCTGCGATTTTTCGCTGACTTCGCGCCTTCCCCTGCCCCCGCCCAACCATCGCCCCGCCCCGCCATCGCCCCGGCATTGGCACTGTGTCTCCAGACCTCCCGATTAACCAGCTTCCCTCCAACCACCCGGACCCACGGGTCGAAGAAGGGCTGTCTCGAATCCGCGAGCTGGATGCCGTACTGAACGACAAGCTGATTGCGGCGCTGATCAGCCACCGGGAGACATTTCCCGACCAGTGGGCGGAGCAGGAGCGCAAGAGGCTGGAGAAGCACACCAAGGCGGTGGAGGAGGCGCTCAAGTGGGTGGTGGGCGGGCGGTGGAGGTGGTGGTGATGGTGGTGGTGGTGGGGCCAGGGTGGTGGCGATAAAGAGGAGAGGCAAATTGCAAACGGAGGAGGGAACGGGCAAAACGTCGTAAGGATGAAGTCGTTGTTGTCGACGTCCCGGCCCTTGTGGTGGCGGGGGAGGATGGTTGGCTTGTGCTGCCTCTAGTGTGGAGGGAGGTGGGTGAAGGGGGCAAAACGAAGGAGTAGGGAAATCCGGACGGAAACTGGATCCTGTGGTCACAACGGCGTTGGGTGTTTGTTGGGGCAGTGTGGCTGGGGGCAAGGAAACCAAGCAAGCTACAACAGGCGCGCGTTCCTTCCGCACCCCTTCTCTATCTTCCACTCTTTCACTCTCTCTTCCCCCGACTCTTTTCCACTCTTTCACTCACTCTTTCACTCTTTTCCACTAAACCAGTGGTTCACCCTGCCCACAATTACCCACCGCCATCGCCACGGTCGCCTTTGGACTCCGGCAGCCGGCGCTTTGGGTCGTCGGCAGTTGTCCCTGTTTGATATCATCATCATCATCATGATGATCATCATCTTCATTCCCCCTCCTCCCTTTCTTTTGCTTCTTGCATGTGATTCACCCACCACCCCCTCCTCCCGGCCTTCAGGCGCGAGCGTCAGAAGCGGCTCCGTGCCGCCCGCATCTCCCGCGCCGTCACCTCCCTGGATGCCGGGCCCTCGGGCCTGGCAGCCAGCCCGTCGTCTGTCCAGGGCTCCTCCATGTCGCTGGCAGCAGGTGGGCAGGCCCCCTCCATCTACTCGCGTCTCTTCACGTTAAAGCCGGAGGTGAGGTGAAGGGGAATAGCAGCTGGAGAGGACGGTTTGGCCTCCTGTTTATTCCAGGGTTCGACACCCCGTACGGGGCCCGTAAGTTTTTGGCCTTTTTTCGGTATCCCCGTCAGGGCCCGTAGGACTTTTCGGTGGCTCCCGTAAGGATTTTGGGGCGCGAAGCGCCCCGTACGGGGCCGCCCCCGGACCGGACCGGCCGAAGGCCGGTTACGGTGGCTCCCGTAAGGATTTTAAGGATTTATAAGAGGCCGTACGGGGCCCTGTAGGGGAGAGGACGGACCATATAAAGGATAAGGCCACACACTTGGCAGACATAATTCATATTGCAGTATTTAACTACACTTTTCATAATACTTTTGTAGCTTCTGGTCTGTAACATCCAGCGATGGCAGACATTGAGTCGTCAGGAGGTGACCAAGGGCCTCCTAATCCACCGCCCTCCAAGAAGCGCGAGAAAATAACGATTTACAGGCAAAAAAATGCAAAGCGTCACTTTCCACAGCGTTTCAGCCAAGGACAGTGCCCCCGTAAAGGTTTGCGGGGGTTACGGGGGCCCCCGTAAGCTTTTCGGCCGGTACAGGAGCCTGGTACGGGGGCCCCTCCGTAAGGAAAATTTGGGAGGTACGGGGGAGCCCGCAAGTTTCAGGAAGGTCAGTGTCGAACCCTGGTTTATTCCCTCTACGGTCCGGGGCTCAGCAGCTCCGTTAGCTCTGCCAGCCCTGTTGCTGGGGGGAAAGTTGGCATTTCAAATTTTCCCATGTGGGTCCCTTTTTATTGCCCCTACACACAATACAATACAATACCAAATGAATACCATCCTACAATTCTAGAGTTTCTCCGTGACCCAGTATTCCAGATGGGGAAAGCTCACCCTGTTCCTTCCACCACCGTTTCCGTCGGCAGTTGACGCAGTGCTGCTTGCATCATATCATGATTACCGCCACAACATCCCCCTCCGAAACAATCCCCTGGCGGGGGGTGCGTGTTGTTGCTGGATGGATCTGCAGGAGGAAGCGCTCGTGGAGGCTGTCCTGCGGCGTAACGACGATGAGGGCGCCGCCATTAACCCCTTTGACCTCGAGTCCGCTGCTACGTACGGCAGCGTGCCGGAGGGCGCCGACGGCGCGGAGGGCGTTGGAGGCGGCGGCGTTGGCGGCACTTCCTTCGCCGATCCCGATGACATCGATCTGGACCTGGACATGTTTCTCCCCTCCACCTCCACCTCGGCATCTACGTGCGTCACTCCCTCGGCAGCGGCGCCAATGCCCAGGCCTCTCAGCGCGCGCTTGACGGAAGCCAACGGCGGCGGCGGCGCGATGCGGCCCCTATCCGCGATGTCGTACTCGTCCTCTTCCCGTCCGGGGACGAGCAGCGGCCCCGCCGGTGGCCTGTCACCGCTGGCGGCCGCAGCCCTCCACGGCCACCCCGCCCTGCTCGCCGCTGGCGCAGGGCTGCGCAACAGCGGCATTGGCGGTGGTGGTGGCGGCGGCGGAGCCACCGGGCTACTACCGGAGCGCGTGTACGATGATCCGCGCGCCGCGGCCCGCGCGCTGCGCGCTATCAACGCCCGTTTGGCCGCGTTCGAATCTGAGCACCTATGGGACGAAAGCGGTGCCCTGGCGGACTTCAAATCCGTCACTGCTACCCAGCCACAGCCACAGCCACAGCAGCAGGGCCGTAAACCGCCGCAGCTGGGGTCGGAGGCCAGCCTGGGTCCGAGCCCCAGTGTGGTGGGCCCGGTCCCGGCCAGTGCCGCCGCCGCTGGTGCACCGCCGCCTGCCGCCGCCGCCGCCGCCGCCGGTAGACGGACTCACTCCCCGCCTCGCAGCGTGCGGTCCGCGGCAGGCGGTCAGGCGGCCAGTGTGAGCGGCGTGTCGGTGACTGCCGGGGGCCACAGGGACTACCTGCGTGAGGAGCGGCTGGCCAAGGAGCTTGCGATGCGGTGCGTGGGGGTGAGGATTGGGGTTGGGGTTGTGCTGAAGGTTGTGCTGGAAGGTTGTGCTGGAAGGGGATGGTACATGGTACAAAGCGCAAAGCTGGGCGAGGGGGTGGGGTTGGGGGCAAGAAGATGTTGAGGGGCAAGGTGGGGAAGGGGTGATGAAGAAGACAATCAGGTTCCAGAGCAGCAGCTGGCGGGTTGGGGTACCGTTGGCTGTAGGGGAACAGGCAGGGGATGTGGCGGGGAGTCTGAGGGTGTAGGGGTCGGGGTACGGCCGGTACGGCGGACTGCAGCGGCATTTATGATGTGGGCGTGGGTGGCACCTGTGTGGGTGTCGTCATTTCGGAATATGGTTTTTCTCACAGTCTTTCTGGCACAGTTCCTGTCAGATCCAGGATTCGCCCGGTTAAAGTCCCATTCTTCTCTAACACACCTCAATCAGACCTCTGCCGAGTCCGCTTTCAAACCCTCCGTGTCCGCACCTCCCGTCCTGCCATACTCTCTCTTGCTTCATGGCGATACGCGCAGGGAGCGTGATGTTGATACGGCACTACGCAGCCTCAAGACGGGGGAGGTGGTGCGGCTGGGGGAGGTCACCCTCAAGGCGCTGGTGGAGCAGTGCAGGAGGCTGCAGGTGCGGTACGGTGCGCGGTGCGGTGCGGTGCGGTGGGGACGTCTGTGCAGCGCAGTCCAGGACGCGCTAGTACATGCATGCAGATGTGTAGTAGTAGCTGGCCACCGCTGAAAAGGCCTCTCGAGATGCTGGTGGTGGTCGCGCTACGCGCGTATTTGTATAGCGCCGCACTGTGTACCAGCTACTACAAGATGACAGCCTTGGTTAGTTGGTTGTGCGAACGAAAGCGCAGAGCACGATACCCTACCCACGACACCTTAACTAAGTGCCTCTGTACTGAACCGTCTGGAAGCTTGGGGCATATATATATATATATATATATTTATATTGGACAGCGAGCAAACAAAATTGGTGGCCCACCTGGTGCATATGTAACATGTGGCTTTTACGCGCTCGCCTCTACTACACAGGCGGTCATAGTTGACTATTGTCCTTAGCAACTTTCTTTTGCCATCGAAACCCCTGGAGGCCTTTAGGTCTCCTTAATGGTATGACACCTTCCCGCATGTGCCCACTTCGCACATACCACCTGCATATTCCACATTCACTGATCTCCTTGCTGCCGGTCCCCCGCCCTCCCGTGTCCCGCCCTCCCGTGTCCCGCCCTCCCGTGTCCCGCGCCTTCTTTGCGCGAACTACGTTGCTCTCCCTTCCCTCGCCTCCCTTTCTTCAATCTTCCCGCTTGCCCGCCGGCCCCTGCCATGGCGATGGCGATGGTCATGACGCGGGTGATGTACTCCCAGGAGCTCAATGAGCACCGGCGCAAGATTGAGGAGGCGGAGGCGGCCGCACGCAAGGCCCAGCTGCAGCGGCAGCAGCTCCTGGCCAGCAGGGCCTCGGAAACGGGCTCTGCAAGAGGGGTGAGTACTGAGTACTGAGTACTGAGTAGAGCTCCCTCCTTGTTTTGAATCGCGATCCTGATGAAGCAAGCAATGGCACCCACCTCCTGTCCTGCCAAGCTGGCCTGCATTTGTGCCCTTGGTGCTAGGCAGGGCCAGTATAAATCCTATATATCTTTTGGACATAACCTCGAACCGATGTCACAAGAGCTGTTTGTTCCGCTCACGTGCTGTGCTGCTGCTGGTGGTGGTGGTGGTGGTGGTATCAGGTTCCTGCTGCCGGCAACCCTTAACGACCCTTGATGATTCTTGACCGGTCTTTGTCCGCGTGTCGGATCCGCTCTTTCCTTCGCAGACCCCCAAGGGCTCCAGCGCCCCCAGCACCAGCGGTAACGGCAGCGGTAACGGCAGCAGAGGGCAGACTCCTCCTCCCGCGCATTCATCAGCCCCGTCATCGCGGTCGGGACCAGGGCCTGGAGCAGCGCCAGGAACGTCCGCAGACGCCGCCAGCGGCAGCACCGCAGCGGGGGGCCGTGGCGGGAAGCCGCCGCCTTCGACGTCGGGAGGCGCGGGATCGTCTGGGTCAGCTGCAGCTGTTGGTGGAGCAGGTGCAGCAGCTGGGGCTGGCGGCAGCGGGGGTACAGCGCCAAGGCAGAACAGCGCGGGTAGGGCTTAGGAGCTGTGGGTTGGGGTGTGGTCTTAGGGGATGAGTGTGTAGGGGGCTTACCCGGTACCTCCTGGTAGGTGGCTGAATGGAAAGGGATGTAGGAAAAAGGAAAAGAGAGTGTGGGCCTTTGGGGGGGAGAGGAGCGGAGGAGCGGACAGACAGCTACAGACTTAGGATGGGATGGGACGGGACGGGACGTGGATTTACCTTCCTATTTGCTTCCTCAACATTCCCTTGAATTTTCCCTTGAAGAAGAGGAGGAGGAAGCGGGGGGAGGAGAGGGCATTTCGGGTTTGTTTCCTCTATATATTACTCCATGTTTTTTTGTTATTGTCACTGGTAAAGGCTACACACTCATCCAGCTATCGCCGCCTCTCCCTCGAGCATGTGTCCGTCTGTCCTTCTCTCTCCATTTTTTCTTGTAGGCAAGGCACGCAGCAGCACCTCTGCTGGCAGCACGGGGGCGGCGCCATCAGGGGCTCCGTCAACAACCGGTCGACGAACCAGCGACCCTGCTGTCACCGTTACCACCACGACTGCTCCCGCCAGCTCTGGAGCCGCTACCTCCCCGGCGTCCGGTAACGGAATCGTGGGCAGCGGCAAGGGCAGCAAACAGACGGCAGCAGTAGCAGCAGCAGCATCTGCATCCGCACACGCACCTGCCGCGACTGGGGCCCCAGCACCCAAGCCAAGGTCCGCCAGTAAGACTGCTGGATCACCTTCCCCCATTGATGGTGGCGGTGGGCTCCCGCCACCACCGCCACCGCCACCGCCATAAGGACAGCAGTGTTGCGTGAAGTGTAAAAAGAAACTGCGCTGCGCGGTGTGGTGTGGTGGACGGAAGGCGGAAAGATGATGTATGTGCCCTCTTTCCTTGTCTCAAGCCGTGCACCTTGCACCTTGCATCCTCGTGGTCGCGTTGTTGGACGGCAGTAGCAGCAGGGCTATTAAGGTGGTTCTGGGGCTGCTACATGCTACAGATGCTGCCGGGGGTATAGCCTAATGTGGCTATGTGGACCTGGGGCCTTAGGGTTAGCTTTGCCGTGTACAGACTGCGAATGGATAGGATGCTGGTTGTTAGGTGGTCACTACCCTACCATACACAGTATGTATTGCCAGGTAGGGGCAAGGCGAAATCCCCGCACTTCTTCCCCGCGAATTCTTCCTCTCGACGGATGAGCTTCCATCCAGAAGGCTAGCGACATGGCGCGGGTCGTCGGCGGGTCTGCTGGTGCTTCACACATCTCCTAGTTAGGCGCCAGACGCGGGTGATGGTGCAGGCAGCGGTGTAGGGAGAACAGGTAGGGAGAGCGGGACCAGGCGGCCAGGGGCCAGCGGCGTCTCGTTCCGGGGCATACATCTCCTGGGCGACATGCATCTCCTGGGGGAGGGGGGGCTGGGGAGAGCTCCCGTTTGGGTGGAAGGCTGAAATAGCCGTTTGGGGGGACTGTCGACCGATTCCGATCTATACAGCAATCCTGGGTTATGTATGAGTAGGTGTTATGTATACGTAGCAGATGCAGGGGTAAGGTTGTGTTTTGTCCTAGGGAGTGGTGAGTAGTTGGTTCAGCGACTGAGTGCGTGTGTGTGCGCGTGTTTTGATGCACTGGGCCAACTGTGTATGTGCTTTGGTAGGTATGTGTGTGTGTGTGTGTGAATGTGTGTGCACACGGTGTGGGGGGCCTTTTCCTTGGGGGAAAGGGAAGAGTAATGGCGGGTGGAGGAAAGAGTTAGGTTCAGCGGGCCTTTGGAGATTTAGTGGGTGGTGGTAATATCAGACAGCTGGGTGAGCTGGGCTCTGTGTGGGGAGCTCTATACCGATTGCAGCAGGAAAATGATCCTTTGTGAGCAGCACTTCATCATATGGCATCTGCAGGCTTTGTTAGTGTCTTCCCATCCGCTTGCAGGTCTGGCACAGTCGGCTCCTGGGTGTGTGGATTTCCGGATGGGGGTCTCCGGCCCGGGGGGGGGATTGAGACAATGTGTTACATGTCGTACTGCGTGTACCGTACTGGCCAGCAGCAGCAGCAGCAGCCGGTGTACCCCCCCCACACACACACACACAACTCGTCTCGCAACCCAGGCTGGCCACATCGTCGCCAAGATTACTCGAGTCATCACTGGTCAGTAAATATTGCAGGTGCAGCATTTATCTTCTCCTGGACTATCCGTTTATCTCTGGTACCTGCTTCATTCGGCAGTGGTTCGTCTTTCCCTCAATGGTTATCCGTCACATGCGACCAGATTTCAGGAAACTTGAACTCTCAAACAAAATCCCCTGCGCGAGTTCTGAATAAAAAAAACTGCTCCAAAAGATTATCTAACTTCGCCTGCTGGTCTCATGATGCAACATTATTTCTCGCATTTCTATATTTCTGTAAAAGCACCCCAAGGCACGCCTGAAAAGCTCATAAACCCGATATTCCTTATCAGTATCACAACTATAATACTCGTCCGCCACCAACGCGGCCCTCACGGTAAGTTCCGCAAGTACGTTCGAGGCAAAAGGGGTCCTCCGGCCGGTGAACGTGCAAAACGGGATAGGCTGAGGTTCCCTCGACCCCAACGAAAACGCATCGGTGCCGTGTGATGATTCCGGGGTATACACCTATATATAATATATCCCTAAAATATGCTCCAGCTGTTCCCTTAAGGGTACGGTTGGATCACATGATGCTATGCCCAGTCATCCTAAATTATTATGTAGCCCATGTCGTTTGCAAGGTTTCCTAAATCCCACGCTCTCCGCCGACAAAAAAAACATACAAACAGCTACAACGGACATCTCGCCCTCTGCACCTCCACCCTTCCCAACGCCTCTCTGGCCATCCAATTCACCACGAGCGCACCACCACCTTCTTCACCTGCGACCGTCATGACGGACACGACGCCATCCTTGGGAAACCCTGGAACTTACTACCAACAACCCCCAAGTCGACTGGCGCACCAGCACCGTCACTATCGGCAACACCGTCATTCCGCATTCCCCTTACCGCCCATCTGCCCTACAAATCGAGTTTGTCTCCATCGCCAGTATGCAGAAGTGCATCCGCCAAGCTGCTCCTGCTGTGCGCCGCCGCCAAGAGGAGTGCGACGGTGTGCCATACACCCCGTAGTGTGTGTGGGAGTCCTGCAAGCTAAATCGTCATGAAGCCAATTTTACACCATCCACGAGCTCGAGCTGCTTGCTGTCGTACACGCAGTGCGTAAGTTTCGGTGCTATATTGAAGGCTGCCATTTCACGTTGTGCACCGACCACGACACCCTGAACACCCTGTGCAGCGCTTCTTCACACAGAAAGACCTCTCACAGCGCCAAGCCTGTTGGGCCAAGCTCCTAACCCCATTCCAAGGCTACATGAAAAGCTGTAGACGTAGCTTGAATTTTTCAAGTAATGGGCGGCGGACGGTAAAATCAGGGAAAACGACACCGAGTGCACAAACCAAATGCGAGCAGCCCATTCAAAAACGGATGTTAGATTTTGGCAAAGATAGACTCTCGCCGTATGGCTGGCTATTCCCACGACCGCCGTAAGCACCATCACCTCTCACCCAAGCCTCCCTCTCCACCCCCCTCCACTCCCAACCCCGCACCCCCCCTCGCCGGTGACATCAAGCAAACCAGCTCCAGGTTAGGGAAGACCTCCCGGCCATGAAACACCTGGGCAATACCCCAGATCCACTCCCCCACATGCAGCCCACCCACACAACACACCGCCCCACACACATTCCCAGAGCGACGTCCTCCCTCTGGACCACGCACATGACAGGACTAGGCGCACTAGCCACCGGGGCCGATGTCATGACCGCGGGTCGTCATTACTATCGGCCACTAGTGCAACTTTCGCAATGGGTTGGTGTTGGGAGAGGGGGGGTTTCGCAGCCGGTTGTGTGTTTTGCTACCCTGCCAAGCTAGCAGCTGGTGACTTAGCTAATGTATTGCAACATGGCAGGACTGAGCAACAACCATCGTACACCACACAGTGCCGTACCCTATACCGCTGTCGTGACACATGATCATCATGATGGTCTTGGGTGAACTCTGACAGTTACAAGGTGCGTGCCGAAGCTGCGGTTTAGCACTCATGCATCTTAGGGTTTTGTGAGGAGGTGGTCAAGGCCATAAAGCGGCTCAAGAACAATAAGGCATGCGGCCCTGGCAAAATTCGGGCGGAATGTTTGAAATGTGCGATGCGACTCGCTTGGTGCAGGAGATAAGGCCCGCTTGGCCACCAGTCAAACAACAAGTACAAATGTGCATTGCGGCTGTTTCGCAGCTGTATCGCAGACATTTTCACACATCTAAGCAAATATCCATATGCCACATTTTCATACATCTAAGCATTTGCATAGTTAAACATGCCCGAGTCAGCTCGAGCTGATGAGCGCCCAACCAAGGTCCCCCGCATCTCCCTCGAGATTCGCGGCTTCGGCAAGCTCGAACCGCCTGTTTGCCTTCGATGTCAGCGAACTTGACGTTTTGCAGAAAGAGTTTTCAGTTATGAAGTCTAAGATGGCATTGCAGTTGGAGCTGGGCCGCACCTCCTGGGAGCGGGCCTGAGCTGGAATGCATCAGTGGGTCCACTTCTTTCCACGCTTGATTCAGTTGGTGTATGTCGCTTGTGTCCTTCCCACTCAAACGGCGTGTGTTGAGTGTGGCTTTAGTGTCCACCGCATTACCAAGAACAGGCTGCGTAACCGGCTGGCTGTCCCGTCCATTGATTCCTTTCGCAGAATCCCTCTCCAACCCCGAAGGGGCCGGATGGGGGACACTACTCCTCCGTTTTCTGTGTTTTTTGGGGCACGACGTATGGAAAGAGGCCCCGCAAGGGCTACATGAGGTAGACGAACGAGTGGAGTGGCTGATGAACAGGCCAATGCCAGAAGGTGTGATTTTGGAGTTCAAGGACCGATTAGTGAGTGGTTGGAAGCATACGCGTTTAGATGTCCAGCCTGACGTGTATCCGTCCGACGGCAAGCAACCAGGAATCCACATGGCGAAGTATAAGCATTGGGTTTTGGGTTTTAGGGTTTTAAAACCCACGCTTCGAACATATGAAGGACGCTATGAGTGGGAACCTGAATGCCTGGCAAGGATGCTGGAACGCATATGGTCCCACCGCAACTCTATCGTTCCCTTTGGTCGTTAGTATCCTTCATTACTTGTTTCGTTGGAAGTGCGAGGTAGGATGGTGCTTATAGGCGATTTGGCAGCCCTTGAGCCCTCGGCTCGTACTAGGGTGGTTTGCAGGTACGGGGAACGCACCCACGACCATGTAACAACAACAACAACAATGATTCCTTTCTGCGTGTTGGATTACTCGGTCCAACCGTGGATATGAAATCCAAGCCCCTTGTGATTTGAAGCTGCTTAGGAGTATGTATGTTGTTACAGGGTGGTTAACTTCGCCAGCGGCCCCCTTTCCCGGGGCAGTCCCTGCTCTCCCCTGCTAGAGGGGCACCCTAATCCGTCACCCCATCCGACTTCAGAATGTATTCGTTGGGTTCGGCAACTCACCACCAGCATCCAACCAAATCTAGCGGATCAACGGCGCATCAACTTAGTTCCTGGTCAGCTCGCAAGTTGATATTATCACGTCCTACACCGTCCATATGATGGGGGGCCACCTCCCATTTCATCACTCCTCAAACACCCGAGGAGCTGGCAGGCGGATTTGAACCTGGGTCGACTGGATCGACTGGGAGCAGAAGTCAGGCCTTAACTTCTGCCAGCCGCCTGCCAGTATGTTGCAAAGAACCCGGATGGGCTCCTGCACCGTATTGCCAAGGTGGGCGACTGTGTTCTGCCTGGTGAGAGTGATGATGAGGGCAGTGTGGGCAGTGAAATTGCTGAGGCCTATTATCCTTCGGGTGATGATGTGGTGGTGGAGGCGATTGCTGCAGAGGTGGATGAGGAGCGGCACCTCCTTGGTTTTGGGTAAAATCCTTGCTGAAATATTTCTCCCAGGCGCTATGTTCCAAAATAAAGTCAAACACCTGTTAATTCAGCCGTCCTAGCATATAACGATAGAATCCGGCTAAATTTTACCCCGAAAACCGCTTCAGACAGTTTCGGGGTACCCGAAAACATTCTCCGGCTGACAGGAAAATTTTCGGGGAGGGCCCCGAAAGGTTATTCAGAGGGTTTCGGACACGACCGAAATTTTTGGGTACCCCGGTGAAGAACCCTGACGACAGGACTGAGCAATAACGTTGCTAATTGCTCCGTGCACTCTTCTGTGCTGTACTTCCAAATCCCAAGTTTTGCACCTAGTTTTGAGTACAATGACGGCACATGGCAATCGTGCATATGCCCTCGCGCAGACATGTGACAGCACCAGTGCTGGTGCGCACAAATTATGCGACAATGCACCACCTGGTGCACAACTGGCCGACCCCGCCGCCTTCAAGATGCAGCAGGTACCTGGCCATTAATTTCAAGGCCATGCACATCGCACATGAGTATCATGCAGCTTGTCACAGTTTCATGGTTTGCTAACTACAATTGTCAGGGGCGCTCTGCAAGCGAATTACCTTCTAAAATCTAAATGATTGGCTGGCAAGACCAAGATCATATATGACTTGTGAGGCTGTGGTGCGCATACAACATGTTATGTAAGGTCGCCGATGACGGATTAGCTAGGTGTGTTAACGTAGCACATCAACAAACATTTGGGGACGATGCTAGCCAGGTCTGGCGCCAACCCTTTCCAATACCTCTCGGAATGTGATTCTTACAGCGGAGCCAGAACGGCGACAAGTGCTAGCAGCACACGCCGGGGGGCCTTATCCGTAACGGACTCGGCAAGCCATGCCAGCGTCACTTAGCTTTAAGCCTCAGCCGGCATGTGAGGCAGTAAGTACGAGGTGCCACAACAAGCATATCAAAGGCCCTTGCCAGTTATGTTGGTAGCCCAAAACCATCCCTCAGTACGTCTCCCGGTGGTCAATGCGGCTGCGGACGGCACCTTAAAGAAACTCAAGACACGGGAAGTTGCATACAAATTGTACAAAATTTGATGCTTCGCAAAGTGCGAATGAGCTTCCATCGCTATGGGCGTCCGCTCTTCTTCCGACCTTCGACTCCGCTAATGGCGCTATTCGGTATCTAGATGTTATTGGTTTCTTGCTTTGATGATTGAGCTGTAAATTTTTGTATGGTAAAGGTACTTTACCTCAATCGATTTACACAGCGAAAGGTACCGTTATGGCAGACCTATCTGCGGTACGACGATACGACTGACATGTTTCTGTTGTCTGCAAGCTTGGCGTCACGTTTGTGATGTTAGAGCCAAGTTAACGTTCAAACAAAGCGACGCGGGTGATAACACATTTGCATGACCAGTTTGCCTAGTTCAACTGCCCCATGTGCTCCCAAGAACCATAGCAAAGGCCCCAGATCGGCCACATCCAAGCGATCTTATAACATAAAATAGTCAAAGCTCTAATACAACTCATAGACGCTTTCGTTGTCTTCACGACGCAGTCTTGAGTGACCTGACACTACTTCAGCAGAAGTATAGAAATCGTTAAAAGATGGGCTGCGGCGCATCTCAACCTGCTCCAAGGGCGGTGGAGCCAAAAGCGCCAGAGAAGGCCCCATCACCAAGCGGGGTCAGTACCGGCACAAACGGCATGTCTCGACGAGAGAACCACGCTCGTGGCCCTGAAAATTAAAGACCCATCACAAGACCTTGACATATGGGCTATAACCCCAGCACTTTTTTTCGCTCTGGGCTTGCCCATGTGGGCACTGCTGGCGCAATCGACATAGCTAAGCTTGCAAAAGCACGCCCATCCCAGACGTGCATACGCATATGGACCTTGTAATCTATCTGGAACGCGTAAAGTAATCCCCAAACTTCTGCCAAACCGCAGGGCAGCATGAGCGGTGCCGCGCCAACCCCCCCATCGCCCCCGCCGGCGACTAAGCCATCCACCCCTCCCAAGCCGCCGACAGCGCCAACTTCACCGCCTTCTCGGAAGGCAACCAATTCAGAATCCGTGAAAGGAGATCCGACAGAAACCAAGCCTGAGGCAAAGGCGCCACCGTCAAAGGCACCCTCCATGGCCTCAAGCCGCGCTGCCTCCACCGCCAGAAAGGAGCAGGAGGCCGCAGCAGCTGCAGCGGCAGAGGCGGCGGCTGCAGCCGCCAAGGCAGCCAATGAGGCGGAAGCGGCAAAGGCGGCTCGCCTGGCGCAGCTGGCGGCGGAGGCGCAAGCGGCGCGGGACGAGGCGACCGCAGCGGCAGCGGCGCAAGCCGCGGCGGTGGCGGCAGCGGCCGCCGCCGAAGCAGCCGCGGCGGAG